GGGAGACAGATTCCTGGTACTTCCTACACTCTGCTTCCTAGAATCCCTTCCCCAAAGCTGGTTTTTATGATCAACTTGATCATCAGTGGATTTTTTGAGCCCTTTTTTTCCTTTTTCCAGTGGCTATTGTTTGTCCCTCTTTGTGGAAATTCACTCTTCCCCTGGTTCCTACAGCACCATCTTATTTCAATTCTACTCCAACCCGAGGACTTGCTTTCGGCTCCTGTTTGTCTCTTGACCCCCAACTCCAAGACATCCTGGGCCCTCTGTTCTCTCTACACTGTCCCTTGGTGACTTCATCCAGTTTCTCCGAAGCTGGTCATCTCCAAGGATGGACACCACAGTCCTTCCCTGTCTACACGTGCGTGTGCTCACACGAAGGGGCGGGTCTAGTTCCTCACCCTTCCACCTTGGATTTCTTCTTTGCTTGCAAATCTGTTTCGCTGGCACTGTCCTTGGGCCATCTGCCAGTTTCCCTGGGATCTTCCAGGATCTTATCAGAAGAAAAGTTATTAAATTTCAGACTTACCTGAAATTGACTTTCACATATAAGTTCTCAAACAAAAGATATGTTTTGACAGTAAGTTTGAAAGGTTATTTGAAAAGTTCATTTGGGGCTATCAGATGCTATGAATAACTCATCCTGGAATGGCTCATCTTCAAGGTGATTAGACATCTCTTCAGTGAATTTGCCTTATAAGAAAGACATGTGAGCCCTAGCCAGTTTGGCTCAATGGGTAGAGCATCTGCCTGCAGACCAAAGGGTCTCGGGTTCAATTCTGGTAAAAAACACACACCTCGGTTGCAGGCTCCTCCCCAGCCCAGGTCCTAGTCGGGGCGAGTGCAAGAAGCAACCAATCGATGTGTTTCTCTCACAATGATATTTCTCTCTGTCTTTCCCTCTGTCTTCCACTCTCTCTAAAATTCAATGAAAAGACATTCTTGGGTGAGGATTAAAAAAAAAAGAAGAAGAAGAAAGACATGTGAAACCCAATGTGAAACTCCAGAGAAACCATCCCAGAACTTTCAGTCTAATATAGAAAACCCCTCATCAAAAGTGCCAGTTAGCCTTCTGCCCTGGCTCGTTCCCCATCCCTACTCTAAGCTTCACTATTTACAAACACCAGGCTGTTCATCAATTTACAAACTTAAGACAACAAATCAAACAATTCATTTGTTATGCAGCCATTGCAACGGGAACTAATGCCTGAAGAACGAATCAGACAAATCCAGGCGGTTAGGCATTCTTCAAAACCAGGACACGAAAATCTTCAGAAGTCAAAATCCTTATTAGTCATTGACTGGGCTCGTGACCACCAGTGGGGACCGGGGACAGAACAAACCACTTCCTCGAGGAGCCACATTGACCGGGTGGCCCCTAGTGAGGGCCGAGGAGTCTAAGAAAGCACTCCTGGCTGGGGCAGCGAAAACCTCTGCCACAGGTTTTAGGCTGGTCAGCCCTGAGCTGGCACCACGCAGTCTGAGGTCGGCGACACGTGTGCCATGTGTTCATGATAACATACGGTCCCCACCCCAAGAGTGACACCTCAGGCCGCAGCACCAACTTCCTGGAAACAGGGAAGCCCTAAAAGATAAGCTGCCCATTCGCCTCAGCGGAAACAAAGGTGCCTCCCACCCCCACCCCATGGATCAAGGAAAACCTCCAGGAAAAGGTTAACTTTCTGATTCTGAGGGAGGAGTAACCCAGAGCCAGGAGTCTGCCAGACACACTGCTTCACGCTGTAAGGACCTGGAAGGGGACTCGGAGAGTCAACCACATCAGGGCCTGTTACTGTTGTCAAGGCAACCAGAGCTCCCAGCTCTCAAAGGGGAGTTTCCAGGCACTCACTTGCCCCCAAATTCTTTTTGTTTTAAGCTATTCTTTGAATTCTTTTAAAACAAAAAAACATAAAAAAATATATTTCTATTCCTAGCACCCTCATTGTTTCTTGTAGTTTAATCCTTTGTCAGACATCTAGTCCTCTATGTAATTAAAATGCCAAGGTAGCAAGGGCCTTGAAGCAATGATACTTTTCACTTTGTAATGATACAAATCACGAAAATCATATGAATCATGAAAATAAATTCATGCAGGAATGGTCCAAATAGCTTGTGTATTTTGGATGAAAAGAGTACAATTCCCAAACCATGATAACAACACGGGGTGGGAAGGAGAGACTCAGCAAAGACCAGCAGAAGTGCACGCAAACCAACCCCTGGTGGAAAGAAATACTTATAAGACACCCAGGGAAATTTTCAAAATGACTACCATTCCATGATGTTATATGGTATTAACATTAATTGTTTTAGCTTAATAGAATTGTGACGAAGAAAGGAAGAGACGGAGAGAGGGAGGGAGGGAGGGAGGGAGGGAGCCTTCATCTTTGCCATGTGTACTGAGGTCTTTACAGATGAAGTTATGTGATGTCTCGGGGACTGATGTAAAATAGTTCAGAGTGGAGGTTGCAGATGAAATAAGATTGGCCAGGTAATAGCAACTGTTGAAGCCGGGGGATTAGTGTTTGGGGGTTCCCTGTACTAGTCTCACTTTTTAAATATGAGTTGAAAATTTTCAGAAATAAAAAAATCTATCTTAAAAAAGAGACAGGAAGAAAGAGAGGAAAAGGAAAGCGGGTGAGTCGAGCAAAAGGACGAGAGAGAACAAGGAATGGTAAGAGGAGGTGAAAGGGAAGAAATATGTAGAGAAAGCAAGAGAATCAGGAGCCCAGAGGTCAATGCAGATGGTGGGGAGCCCCCATCCCCTCAGCGGCCTCCCTGCTTCGTGCAGCCTGGGCAGCACCGTTGGCAAAACTTGGAAGAGCTCATGGTCACCAAAAGCCTGCCGGGGGAAGAGTCCTGAGTGCAGTTCTGATATGCCTCTTCCACTGCCCTGGGAGAACACACCTGCACCCCCACACGCCCGTGGGGAGAGTGAGGGCACAGCTGTCTAAGGGGCAGTAACTCCTGTGTTTCCCCCGGCCTTGACCTGGGCGAAGCCATCAGTGTTATTACCGGGCACCGACATGTACAGAGACCAAAGGTAAAAACATGAGAAGGAGATCAGACACGGGAATTTAAAAGCCAATGAAAAGGAGACCCAGCTGTTCCTCTTCAAAGGCCGGCACCACGAACTGAACTTACAAGATCCCACTTCCTCTGGGCTCCAGCACCAGGGAGAGGCTTAGGGGGACACAGACACATACGAGAGGGAGCTGGATTGACTGGCATCAGGGCAGGAACTCGGGGGCGGCTTTCTCCCAGACGGAGGTGCTCCAGGGATCGTTGTTCCTATGCTGGGAACTCCCCAATTGCAGGGCTGACTGGCAGCCATTTCTGTTTGCTCCGCCCTCACCTGCACCCCCACACGCCCGTGGGGAGAGTGAGGGCACAGCTGTCTAAGGGGCAGTAACTCCTGTGTTTCCCCCGGCCTTGACCTGGGCGAAGCCATCAGTGTTATTACCGGGCACCGACATGTACAGAGACCAAAGGTAAAAACATGAGAAGGAGATCAGACACGGGAATTTAGAAGCCAATGAAAAGGAGACCCAGCTGTTCCTCTTCAAAGGCCAGCACCACGAACTGAACTTATAAGGTCCCACTTCCTCTGGGCTCCAGCACTAGGGCAAGGCTCTGGGGAACACAGACACATACGAGGGGGAGCTGGATTGGCTGGCATCGTGGCAGGAACTTGGGGGCGGCTTTCTCCCAGACGGAGGTGCTCCAGGGATCGTTGTTCCTATGCTGGGACCTCCCCAATTGCAGGGCTGACTGGCAGCCATTTCTGTTTGCTCCACCCTGGTGATTCCCTGAGACCCTGCCTCATCCAATTTACAACCCCACCCAAGCTGTGTGCAGCAGCTTTTGCATATGAATGGCCTTTTCTTGTTCAGGGTAAAATCTCTCAAACAAGCTTGATCCCCAGTAGGGGGCATGCAGGAGACAGGTGATTGATGATTCTCTCTCATCATTGATGTTTCTATCTCTCTCTCTCTCCCTCTCCCTTCCTCTTTGAAATCAATGGAAATAGTTTTTCAGAAAAGTATCAACAAGGCAGTAGAAAGATCACTGTATTACAAAGAAACAAGTGGGGCTGGCCTCAGACTTCTCCATCAAATCTATACATGTGATTAAATTACATAGGACCACTACTACTAAATACACACATGCACATATACACGATGCTTACATAAAAGAACTGGTGAAATCTGAACAAGGTTTGCACTTCAGTTAACAGTACTGCACAGTGTCAAATTCTTCATTTTGATATTAGTCTGAACTTATATAAAATGTTATCACCGGGGGGAAGTTGGGGAAGGGTACATGTCTCTGTACTATCTTGGCAACTTCCTGTGACTCAACAATTTATTTGTGACAGAATCATAACAGGTTCTTGTAAACCTCAAATCCAAACTTGGAACGAAAGGTAAATAAATCAACTTAACACCTAATCACCTAAAAGGACCAGACGGGTGGATATTTAATCACTTCCACATCGATTCCAACAGTCGTGTTCAACTATCGCTGAGAACAGCAGAAATCCCTGCGCAAAGCTGTCGCCACACACAACCCCAGCCGACTGAGAAGCTTAAGTAAGAAGTTAACACTCTTGGCTTAACATCACCGAAAATTACTTGTTTGCAGACAAATTATCCACCGGGGACACTTTTTCATTTGAGGAGACCTGCTCTGCCTCCCTCCCTTCCCTTCTCCCAACCCAAAGAGGCAGCATGGGAAGCAACTGTCACGGTCCTGTGCAATCAGGAACTTCCGTACAACAAAGGCCTTCCCGCCCAGCCGGTGTGGCTCGGTGGTTGAGCGTTGACCCATGAACCAGGCCGTGGTTCGATTCCCAGTCAGGGCCTGTGCCTGGAGGCAGCCAACCGATGATTCTCTCTCATCATTGATGTTTCTCTCCCTCTCCCTTCCTCTCTGAAATCAATGAAAACATATTTAAAAAATAAATACACAAAGAAAGACCTTCCGTAAGAGGGCCGACTTACCCTGTCCCAGCTGAAACACAGGCCCAGGCGGTCAAGCTGCTTCCGCATGTACTTAATGTTACTGTGAAGTAGAGGGAAGAAGGTTTGGGTTTAGAGAGGGGGAAAGCCGTAAACAAACTATACTTTGAGAATGGGAAGGGAAAGGGGGAAAGCCTAGATTATTCCAAAGGGCTCGAAGTGTCATTTTGCCCTGGCCCCCAAAAAATCACTAAGAATCAATGAAAATGCCAGCATATTGGAAGATACTGACTCTTCAGACTCAGACAGGATCTACTAGAAACCACAAAGGCCTTTGGCCCTGGGATGGCCCTTCCTCTGGCCATTCAGGTGGGCAACGCCTTTGCTATGTGCACTCCTGGCCCATCCACATGGGGCGGGCAAAAGTAGTAAGCGAAACACAGAGTTTACTCTTGTATTACTGATTATTAATTATTAATTATTCTCCATACAAACAACTGTAAACCCACTTTTGCCCCACGCTGTATGTCTGTATTCTGCACGGAGTTAAGCCAGGCATTTAGCATAAAATCCACTGAAGAGAAAAAAACCTTAACGTACGAACTGTGGGAATCCACGTACACGGGTGTTTGAATGTCTGTAAGACACACCTTTGCGTCCAACTGTCTGGATGTAGGTTCCTCTCAATGGCGGCGTTTTCGGCAGGCAGTCCGAACGCATCCCACCCCATGGGGTTGATGACCTGGGACCAGAAGGGAAGCGTCAGCATGGCGGACGGTGAAGACCGAGATCCGTGTCCTCTCTGGGTGATTAGCAGGCATTCTCTTCTACTAACATGCCTGACCCTTCTTCCCCGGGTGAGTTCAAAATGTGCTCTGGGAAGCCAGCCAGCTACTTCTGCCTTACCAAGGATTTAGCAGGCTACACACCAAGGCATCTATGGTGACTCTGAGTGGGTGTTTTCATTACTGCATCTCAGGGTTGTCGGCCAGGATGTCTGTCTGTCTGTCTGTCTGTCTGTCTCTCTCTCTCCCTCCCTCCCTCTCTGGTCTCTCTCTCTCTCCCTCTCCCTCTCCCTCCCTCCCTCCCTCTCTGCCTCTCTACCTCCCTCCCTCCCTTCCACTCTCTCTGAAAAGCAATGAAGAAAATATCCTCAGGTGAGGATTAACAAAAAAAAAAAGTCCTAGCAGCTGAAATCAGAAAAATCTAGAAAATAAACTTCCGGAGTGTGAAAAATCATGTCTAGCTCTTCTTCTAACAAATACTCTAAGTAGTTAAAATGGAGTGAGAAGCCAAGCGGACAGACGCCGCCACCCGTCCGATCTGGACGGAGGCTGGAAGGGGGAAGCAGAGTTATCAGAGCTCAGAGGCCCAGATCGGCTGCAGAAGCTGAAATAGGCAGGTCTGCCCAGACGGAACTGGATTAATGAAGGAGGCACTACCCAGGCCAGAGAGCAATTCCCTGGCTTCCCCTTTCCTCCTGCCCATCGCCCCCCGCCCCCTTACTTTGGCCAGAATTTCTTATTGCCCAAAACCAGCCAGAGGCCAGCTGACACCAGAGCTTGGGAAACGTGGCCTCAAGAGGTCTGCCCTTCTGCCATTCAAAGCAAAGCAGGGGATGGGTCTGACAGCAAACTGGCCAAGGACCAGCACAGGAACACCAGTAGGACTGCAAAATCTCCCAGGACTTGAGACATCACAGAGGAATTGGGACCAGTTACTGATGAAGGGCAAACACAGGGATCGGAGCCCTGGCAGGTCAGACCAGAGCTGGCCAGGAGATGAGGCCTGGGAGCGGGTCTAGGCCAGACTCTGGTGTGGACACAGTCACATGATCACAGCTCACCCTCCTGCCTCCCTCCAGGCATAGCCACCAGCATCTCAGGGTTGTCGGGCAGGATGGACAGCAAGGTGGCCAGGAGAAGGGACACGGAAGACAGCACAGCTACATATGACGATGTACAGACAAGGCTCTGGAGGGATGGACCGGAAAGCATCAGGGATTACTGCCCAGAAGGGCCTGGTAAGGCAGGGAGTGGCCAAAGGAGACTGCAGTCTTATATATGCATATGTATTTTCAAGGGGGAATATGGAATTTTATGTTCAATTTTAAAATACTTTTCTTTCAAAAGAAAAAAAAAAAAAAAAAAGAACAACCAAAGGTACAGTTCTTGGCCGGTCAGAGTGGCTCAGTGGTTGAGCACAGACCCATGAACCAGTAGGTCAGGGTTTGATTCCCGGTCAGGGCGCATGCCCATGTTGCAGGCTCGATCCCAGGAGAGGGCGTGCAGGAGGCAGCCGATGGATGTTTCTCTCTCAGCATTGATGTTTCTATCTCTCTTTCCCCTCCTCTCTCTGAAATCAATAAATATAATTTTAAAAAAGTACAGTTCTTCCTCCAACACAGGAAGTATGATCAGAAGACTTTGGAGGGAGACCAGGAAGCTGGGGCAGCCGGCCGGCTGGTTCCCAATGGAGAGAGGAGCACAACCGTTACCACAAAAGAGGCAACACGTTTCCTCGGAGTGATCGGCTTTCTCTCCCTGTCATCGTAAAACTAAACTTTAGATCTGAAACCAACGTGGCTTCTAATTGACAGCAACCATGGTTACTGCTTCTCGAAACGCTATTTTCAGAGAGTGCCATGGTTTCTCTGGAGTAGGTGCAATCGTTTACTTCTAAGAAATGCGAAACACAGTATTTCCTTTTGTCTAGCAAGTGTAATAACCCACCGAGATTATAGATTGGGGATCAAATTCAAGCCAATACTTCAGGGTAAAAAAACATCCCAGTGACAGCACGGAGGCCCAAGCGGGAGACCTCCCCTGAGAAGGTGAGGGATGTGACAGGTGGGGATCAAATTCAAGCCAATACTTCAGGGTAAAAAACATCCCAGTGACAGCACGGAGGCCCAAGCAGGAGACCTCCCCTGAGAAGGTGAGAGATGTGACGGTCCGAGATCGGCCAGTTCCCAGTCAAGACCCTGGACCAGCAATTCATTCTCTCCCTCAAATTGCATCTGAGAGGATACGCTCCAACTCTGCTTCCAGACGCTGCAGAGATTTGCACATTTGAAAACTCAGGGCCAAGTTGTGTGCTGAGGGGCAAACTGGAAACTGATGAAACATATATTATGGTTCACACAGGTGACTATGTAGTGATCACACAGCTGCCAGACACCTCCATGTCTTTCCTCTTCCTCAGGGAACAGCAGTGCCCGGAGGCTTTCTGCCTGAGACAAATTAGCCCGTGTGTGAGGGAGACTTGGCACGTTGATGCTAATCACCCGATGCTTTAATCTGGCCCAGAAGGTGCTGGGGAGACCAGCCGAGGTGGGAGGAGGGTAATTTTATTTTCCAACCATCTGTGCATACAACAGATGAAAACACAACAAAATCACCATATGGAGCTGAGCTGTAAATGTGTCATCAGACACTGCGGGTTTACAGAGCAGCCCTTTCTGATTCCTGAATGAGGGTAATTGATCTCTGGCTTGGAGCAGCCCCTGCTCCACATCTAATCCTCAGCACCACCTTATCAGTGCTCCTATTAATTAGGTTACACGGGGAAACTGCATTAGAGTTTTTAAAGGGTTTTCTCATTGATTATCTCACAGGAACTTTGCAACCAATCTGAGGTGGGAGGCGGTCAGCCCTATTGTTGACTAAAGCCCCTGATTCCTGATCGATTTGTCACCCTCAAGCCTCCGAGCTTCCATTTGTAAAGGCCACATGTGATCTACACCCATGGAGGTCCCCGGTGACCCTGAACAGAGCAGACTTGGTGCACGGGTCTCTCTATATGTTTTACTTTCCATAGTGCTGTCCTTAGTGTGCCTGAGAATTGCTTCACAATTTCCATGTAAGAACAAAGCAAACCAACCAACAAATTTACAAGTTACAGAAAAAGGCAGAGCTTGCTGAATTTTCCTTGGGCCTACTGACTGATTTTGAACCCAAGACTCCAATACAGTTGTCCACTGAACAATGTGGATTTGAACTGTGAAGGTCCACTGATACACAGACTTTTTTTCAATAAATACACCCCATATTCCTGGGTTTTGCACCTATGGATTCAACCAACTGCAATGCAGAGGGCTGACTATGCATTGTTCCATAGCATTTATACAAGGGACTTGAGCATCTGTGGATTTCAGTATCTATGGGGGTCCTGGGACCAATCCACTACACATACCGAGGGATGATTGTAGTTTAGTTTTGGGGGACTTAACAGCTACGCTAGGATTTTCAACTGCACTGGGGCAGGTGGGGGTAGCCCCTAAATCCCGTGTTGTTCAAGGGTTAACTGTGTTTGTATTTAATGCAGCAGAAAGCCCAGTGTTTAGAATAAAGCTGGTATTTAATTACTATTTATCGAAAGAATTTATCAATACATGTGTCAGACCCAATTATTCAAGGTTAGATATTCCTTCCCTCCTTAGCGTGAGGATCATTGAACTTGACCTGAAACCAATCCTGCTCTCTCTCTCTCTGGGACTAGACTTGACATTGGAAAGAAGGATTTTAAAACAACAGGAAACTCAACAGGCTTTCACACTGTTGACAATGAGATTTTTTACACTGAGATTTCTGTTTCTCTTTTGCCATATCACTTAAAAATGGCAGGACAAATTTTCACCAAATTTGGCAGTAATATTTGGGACGATCTGACTTAACTATGAGCTATGAAAATTAACAAGAAATTAATTTCAGCCCTGACTGGTTTGGCTCAGTGGATAGAGCGTCGGCCTGCGGACTGAAGGGTCCTGGGTTCGATTCCGGCCAAGGGCATGTGCCTTGGTTGCGGGCACATCCCCAGTGGGAGGTGTGCGAGAGGCAGCTGATCGATGTTTCTCTCTCATTGATGTTTCTAACTCTCTATCCCTCTCTCTTCCTCTCTGTGAAAAATCAATAAAATATATTTTTTTTAAAAAAAAAGAAATTAATTTCAGGGAAACCTGGCGGATACCCCCAAAAGGGAGCTTATCATCTGAAATGGAGGAACACAGAGAACCCTATGCGCCTGCTCATCGCACAGACTAAGACACCGTAAACCACATAACGAATAGTGGTTTCAGGCACCACTCCAGCCGCAGGATCACGCAGGCTGCAGGCAATGATGTGCAGGTAAGATGCTCTTCGGAAGGCAACTTCATGCAGCGCGCTCCAGACAGCGGAGAACGGGGACTCACTTATTCCGTGGAGATGAATGACTCCCCAGAGTAAACCAGATCAGGATAAATCATAATCACAGCTGCCACCTATTAAGGGATTATTATGTGCCAGACACATGCACGAACTCATTTAACCTGCACAACCACCCCCTGAGGGAGGAATTACTGTTATCCCTGTTGCAAAGATGAGGAAAGTGGGATTCGGAGACATTAAATGACTTGTGCAGGGTCACTCAGCTAGAAAGTGGTAGGACGGGGCTCAAACCTAGTGTCCAACTCCTGAGCCAGCCTGACCTTGGGCCTCTGTTTTGTCTTCTGGGCCTGAGCTGCCTACCTGGGTCCTGGGACCTCTAGGCCTAGGGGCCATGCCTGGAGCTTTCTCTGTAATGCCTCATGCATCTAAGGGAATTAGAGTCCCACCTACACTCTCCCCTACACCAACCACCTATCTGCTAACGGGCTTCCCTTTCTTTACCATAAATGTTCAGTTTTGCTACAGAAGCTTAATCTTCAACAATTTGCCTGCATTTGCTAACTGTCTAAAATAACTTGGGTAAGTAAAAAAAAAAAATCAAGTTGAAGAATCGCAGTTAAATAAAGAGTTATTCTTCAGGCAAAGGGCCAATTCATTCCACACCGCCTCTTTCTAATAAACACAGCAGAAAGATGGAGAGCGGTGTCTGGGGGAGACGGCATCTGGCATAAACCAGGGAGACAAACACCTGTGGCCGGCTTCAGGCAGGAGAGAAATCGCTGCGTTTGACAGGATGACGTTATTAACTCTTCCAGTGACAAAGAGGCGTTGTAGCTTGACTTCCTTTTTAGGAATACTTCTTGCTACCAACGTCAGTTCGGCATAAATTTCCAAACCAACTGTGACAAGGATGCACTCATCTTTCTAAAGGAAAATCTTTACAGAGGACTGGGAGGCGGCAGACATCATTTGTTCAGGCCTTGCCGGTTCATCCCCCCAGTGGGGGAGTGGGTTACTGTAATAAACACAAGACGGGGCAGAGATGCACAGCGGGCTCTCGGGCGCTGGTGTGAGCAGATTCCAGCCGCCACTGGCAGTGCAATGTTTACCACCACGTGCCAGGCATATGCCATGTGCTTCACTGCCACCCTCTTTGAATCCTTGTACCAAGCCAATGCGCAGGTACTAGTTGATCTCCACTTTACAAATGAGAGAACACTAGGTCCCAGAGAAGTTAATTAAATGACTAGTCAAAGGTCTACAGCTAGGAGGTGCTAAGAGCTGGCCTTCGAATCCTGGCCATCTGGTTCAGTGGTCCTGGCTCGCAGCCCTTGGTCCATCCCGCCTCTCTGCAAGTAGTTAAAGAAGGTGCTACGATTATTCCCACCTCATGTCGCCAAAGGGCAGAGAGCAGGCTCTGGGGTGACTGGCAGTGTGAGAAGGGGGACGGGGCAGAGATGCACAGCGGGCTCTCGGGCGCTGGTGTGAGCAGATTCCAGCCGCCACTGGCAGTGCAATGTTTACCACCACGTGCCAGGCATATGCCATGTGCTTCACTGCCACCCTCTTTGAATCCTTGTACCAGGCCAATGGGCAGGTACTAGTTGATCTCCACTTTACAAAAGAGAGAACACTAGGTCTCAGAGAAGTTAATTAAATGACTAGTCAAAGGTCCACAGCTAGGAGGTGCTAAGAGCTGGCCTTCTGGTTCAGTGGTCCTGGCTCGCAGCCCTTCGTCCATCCCGCCTCTCTGCAAGGAGTTAAAGAAGGTGCTACGATTATTCCCACCTCATGTCGCCAAAGGGCAAAGAGCAGGCTCTGGGGTGACTGGCAGTGGTGAGAAGGGGACTGACCACATCAGCCAAGTTTCTTCCTCCTGCCCTAGCCAGTTTGGCTCAGTGGATAGAGCGTCAGCCTGCGGACTGAAGGGTCCCAGGCTCGATTCCGGAGGGCACACG